GCTTGTGAAGAGCAGTGGTCCCTACCAGCACTCATGGCACACAAAGCAAAATTTCTGTTCAGTTATTCACTGAGATTCTGACTTGTTTTTATTGCAGCTTAACCTCTCCTTTCCTAATACATAGTCTTTGGTAATAATTTTGGATAGGACTCTAACATGCCATGTGGCCTGAGGAAAGGCAATTAACTTTTTCCTTTGGATTTACTTATTAGTAAATTGGGGGCTAAATTAAATAATCTGTAGAGTTGTTTCTAATAAAAATAATGTAATATTGTGATTGTGTGAGTCAAAAAAATTATCTGGGGAAGTAGTGGTATTATCACAAATGTGTTGATGTAATCGTGTAGGGTCAGAACCCTATCATGTTTTATGGGCCAGGGAATGTTTTCCTAGATGTCTTTGAAGATTTCAGATAAAGAGAAAGTCATGCCACAATATTTTATGTTGAATAGTCAACACCTAGAACTATCCTGAGATGTTACAAAATCTTACTTTTGTTTGATTCAGGGTAAATTAACGTGGAAATCTTATTTCAGCTGTGATAGAATAATAAACACCAATTATTGAATATTTTTCTATTACAGATATTCCACAAACATCATCTCACCCAGTACTCTATCAATCAATCAATCAATCAATCAATCAATCATCTATCCATTCAGCCACCCACCTATTCACAGAAGATGGTGCTGTTACTTCCCCAGTTTTACTAATGGAGGAACAGATTTCCAGGAAAAATACTTTTCTAACCAACTACCAATGCCAGGATATAATTCCAGATTTGTCTGGGTCAAAAGCTCTGGTTCTTGATCTCTAAAATATTTTTGGAGTAGATTGTAAGCTTTTAAGCAGAGAAAATGTTGAAAGTATGGTGCTTAAAATTCAGCCCCATTTCTTTTACATGTGGTTAAATTGATTTCATTTACCAAATTCACTCTCCACATCTTTCAATTTTAGTTATATGCTGGCTTTTCTAAAATTATTTATAATCCCTGTTTTAAAGTTCTTCAGTTTCAAGAATTTTCTTTGCAGTTTTTCTATTTATTGCTTTTTTCAAATTTGCCATCCCACACTACTTCATATATAATATATACCGGTTATGGTCTACTACTCTGTCTATAATTTTAAGTTCCTAATTCAAAATAACAAGCAAAACAGTACTAAATTATAAGCTGTGTAGGTTTCTATCACTGTGTGAAAGGCATGTCATTTTGTATTTTTACCTTTCACTAGAGAAAATTAAGACACAGAGCTTGAACTATTCCTAATCAAAATACTTCCTGTTCTTTCATATCTATTCTTGTATCTTTTCTGACACACTATTGGCATATCTTCCCTAATGCCTTTTACCTTGACTTTTGGTTCTCTACTCGTTGTATTATATAACATCTTATAGAAGAGATTCATCACCAATTATAATATTCTCTATGTTCAATATCAGAAAGCAAAGAACACATATATAAAAGATAATTCTTACTATAATGTAATATTGAAAATAAAAATGGCTATCTTATTACTCAACAAATCTCAATAACAACTCAAAGAAAACCATAAAATAAAATGGCAGACAAAAATACTTTATTTAATCCAACTTTAAAGATTTAATTCCTTAAAGAGCTCAATGCTCAGCCTATAGGCCACTAACAACTTTATACATAGTTTTTTATTTTGAGCCATTTTTTTTCTCCTGAAATAATTGCTTTATAGCAGTTTGTTTGTAGTGCACATTGTGGTGACCCCTGCAACAGCTGTTTCACCCTTCCACCCCTTCCCCTCATACTGCTGCCAGCAGTCACAACTCTACAGAGGTGGCTTGCTATTATTTAGCCCATTTACAGTAATTCCACTTTTCTTGTACTAGCTTATTCTGTACTCAAACAGCAAAGGAATTTCATCAGCAGTAAACATGTGACACAATTAATGCCAATGAGATCTGCAGACAAATTAGTTGAAGAATTCTAGGGGAGACATTTTTTGTCCTTCTCAGAAAGAGTTTTAAGGAATCAGATATTTCTGTTTTGGGCTGCTGTCAAGGTGAACTCCAGAATTCCTGCAGCCATTCTACCACCATGAGAAAAGTCAGCCTCGGAATAAATGTGTTGCTGCCAAGGTGAATAGAAACACATCATTTCTGATAACTGTTCTGAGATGGACCTTTCACTTATGAGAGCCAATCAAACCTGTTCCTTTGTAAAGTCAGTTTGTATTGGGTTTTCTGTTACTTGAAACACATATAATGAACTCTGATACATTATTCATTTCATTTTCCTATCTTGTATTTTTCCCAATAATGCAAAAATACATCTATGTACTATTTGGATCATACCTCAATATCAGATCATTTAGATCATATTTCAATATATCATATACATTAGGGGAAGCTAGCTTACATGGCTGTTTTATGAAAGTAAAGAAATGCAACCTTGAAACTCACAGAAACCCTAAAAGATTATGTAAAACTTCTCTGAAAGATATATGGCAGGTTAATGATAAAGGATAATAAATTCTCCTTAACTATAATACACTGGTAAAATATATTAAGTCTTTGGTATACTTATATTATTTTTAATTAATGATAGTCAATTATTTTAACTAACCACACAGAGAAAATATCTTAAGATTTCTTTTCCAAGCCTACTTAGGATCCTAGTGAGTTCCTTGATGTATAAGACTTTTCAATGGAATTATCTTATCAATGCATTAAGCCAAACAATACTATGTGACTTTCAAAACCTTTCATAATCTGAGTGCTCCCCACTCTCCCTACATATTACCTGCATTCATGTACATGCACCTTCTGTTCTAGACTCTTCACAACTGTGCTCCCTTCAACTCTAGATGCATCTTGAAGTTTGCATCTGTGCTTTTTGGTCAACTTCTTCCATTTCTTCTCCAAAAATGGGGTTCTCTTCTATACATAAGCTCTGCAATGGTGCTTCGCTCTTTGGCTCTGATTCTACATCACTGAGCACTTGCCTCGAATGCTTCAGTTTTTCTCCATAATTAGATTGTCAGATCCAGAAGGGCAGAGATTGAGATTTGTTTCTCATATAACCGCCCCCTAAAGCTTCAAGTACTATATAGTAGAGTGGATATTAAATAAATACTTGCTTGATAAGTTAACCATGTTTGTACTACTTATCATACAAAATTTGTTGTATAGAAATAGGAAAAGGTTTAAAATGACTAGATTGGCCTTGGGTTGCCAGATTTAGCAAATAAAAATACAAGATGACAAGTTAAACTTGAATATCATGTAAATAAACCCCCCTCCCTTTTTTTTTTTTTAGCATAGATGTATCCCATGCAACATTTGGGATATAGTTTTATAAAAATGTCATTTGTTTTTGAATCTAAAGGTAAAATATAACTGGGTGTTCTCTATTTGTCTCTGGCAATCCTAGATTGGCCTGACCTAGAACCACCCCCCTCACCACCCCATCCTTATTTTTCTAAATTAGAATGGATTACCACATTTCTGACTTATTCAACCTTACATGCTTTTGCTAATCAAGCCCTATGGCATACGAAGTTCTCTGCATTGTTCCATCAATCAGGGACAACAGAGACTCAGTATCCTTATGTAAAATTCACCATGCCTGCCCATGTACAGGGAGGCAGAGATAAATGCAGTGCCAACAGCACCCTCAAGTAATTCCTCATCTGGCAGAACAGACAGCCCATTTCAGTCCAGGTTCCACTTGATGTGCAATCCTAGTGTGAATCCATGTGGTCAATAATTTTTTATAGGCCTGACATACCCCTAAAAAATACACTATACCTGTGTATAGTGTCATCTATGAAATATCCCAGATGACACCATACACAGGTTGTCAAAAATGAAGTATATTGTTTTTGAAGTACACGTTAAATAGTTCTTAATTTTGAAGTGTTATATAAACAGCATAATTTATAATTCTACAGTTGATCTTAGCCAAAAGGCCAAGTGATAATTTCTAATTCTAAAGAAATATAATTATTCATAATTTGTTTTGATCAGCATGTTGAAATATCAGATTCTGATAATTAACTTCAAGTTTTTACTGTGGAGATTCTTTTTCTGATTACTGGATATTTAATATCATTTTTACTTTTTAGCATAAACAACAGAAATTGAGTGCATGATTTTTTTTTTTTTTTTTTTTTTTTTTTTTTTTTTTTTTTTTTTTTACTTCTCAGACGTTTAAATCCTTCACAGGTAAATGCCATGATAACTACTTAATCCGTGTTACTTATTTAGGTGACTGTTAGGATCCCTTGCTTTAGATTTTGAACCTCTTTGTTGTGTGGCCTTGGTCTGCTTTAGCTGATCTCTTATTACCCAGTCTTTTTTGCAATAAGGAATAAGGTCACAGGAGACCTATTTTCTTTGCATAGCACAATGCCATAATGGCAGTGTGTGTGTGTGTGTGTGTGTGTGTGTAGGTGTGCACGTGTATGTGTGTGCACGTGCACAGAGTTTCATAGCTTCAAATTCCTAGTAAACTTTTTACTACTTTCATGCCCTCTACATCCAGTGCTACTTGTAATAAGCAAATATTTTACATACAGGTACAGAAACATGTTTTTCATGATAGTGTTAATGTGTGTAAAAGCATTTCTTAGTTCAAGGATTTAATATAATGTCACCTTAACACAACACACACATTTTCAGCTCTGGAGTACTGTCATATTTTTTCTTTCTTTCTAAACATAAACTATTGATCTTAACCCTCTACTCTATATTGTATAGAGGGCATTTTAAATGAAGATAACAAGCATAATCCATCAAATGGTGATTTCCATAGAGCTCAATTTGTTATTAACAGAGCCCTGTGAAATCATAAATGCAGTAATATTAAAAGGCAATGTGAATATTGGAGGAAGTTATATCAGTTTCAATGACTTGTCAGTTACCTAGATAGAAGGCTAGAGTTAACATTATCATTATAACAAAACAAATCCATTGAAAGTTATGAAATACTCATTTATATTGTATATTTTAGGTTGTCAAAAGTTACCTTGGGTAGTTCTTCAATTTGATTGGCATCTAGATAAAGCTCCTCTAATGTTCGTTCGAAGTTAAAGACCTCCTTTGGCACCTGCTGAAGACTGCAGTGGGAGTAATCTAAAACTGAAATGATTTCTTCTTCACCTCGGAAACATCGGCACGGCACCAGACGGCCGATGATTTTCCGTTTGGTGGTCATCTCCAGGCACTGCACTAGAGAAAAGCAGAAACAAAACAAAACAAAGCAGCTTATCAACTGCTCTTGGAAGGCATTCTTGTGATACTTAAAGCTTAGAAATTTAATTTTGGTATATAGTCTAGGATACTTTAAAGTAGGACACATACATGCATTGTATCATTAAATCCTTAAACAGCACTGTGAGGTATGCGAAATAGGTTTTATTTCCAGATAGTAAATTCAAAACTGGACTCAAAAAGTGTAAGAGATTCCCCATCATCACACAGATTTGGAATGGAAGAATCGAATTAGAATACAGTCCTATCTCAGTTCAATGCTACTATCATGGTTACCTTCTTACTTGAAACATGGAGCTATTATATGTTTTCTATTTTTACACAAACGAAGTGTAGAACAGAAACATCCAGAATTTGTTGGAAAAACATTTGTCCCATTTCTGTAAAAATATTCATGTTTCAGCACCAAAGTTTATGACGTATTCTTTGTAGCCCACAAATTTCATCAGTGAATACGTATTTACTGAATAACCACTGTTTTAGGCACTGCTCTAGTGGAGACAGTGATGCACTGAACAAAGCTCCTGTTGAAACTATGGATTATGATTGGATTGGCTATTCACTTCTAAACGGGGATCTATCTTTATGAACCTTGTAATATGGGAGAAAACAACTTGTAATTATGGTAGAAATTCCTGTGACATTCCTGACACATCTTTCTCCTATTCCTCTAGGTTAAACTGACCAAATGCCATTAAATCTTATAAAGACGTGTCATGGCACCTTCAACATTTTATTCACTCTGCTGTTTTTCATGTAATTTTTCTCCTAGACAGTAAGGCTTCCTCAGGACAGTGATTATTTTGTCCATTCTTGTATTTATCTTGGTGCTTAATATATAGTATATATTCACCAACAATTGTAGAATAAACCAATTAAAACATGAATGAATATGTGAATATATTTGGGACTCTCCTTCTAATCACCATCAGCTACTGCTAATTTGCTAAAAAACTTCTTATTTTAATGAAAAGTTCACTATCTCTGTGAATGTCTTCCCAGGAAAGATGAGTAGCGTCTTCCCAGGAAAGATGAATAGCATCTTCCTCTGAGTTCCTAGAGCACTCATCATATTGTTTCCTAATTGTGTGTGCTATTTCCCCAGGTATCAGGCAAGTTCTCTGAGGAGATCTTGTTTCATTTATGCTTAAATTTACAGTATGCAGTACAGTTTGCCAACTACAGAATTAAAACTTAAACATGAATTTGAAACTTGCATTTAACTTGCTAATGTATTTTTACTTAGCAACACAAATTTATTCTTATACAGAAATTAGTAATATTTATAAAAAACAATGTAGCATTTTGTTTTTAAAATTGCTCATGTTAAGTGCAATTAGGAGACAATCATTACCTAGCAAATTAATGCAGGAAGAGAAAACCAAATACTGCTTGTTCTCACTTATAGTGGGATCTAAACATTGAGCAAACATGGACACTGGGGAAGGGAACAATAGACCCTGGGGCCTACTTGAGGGTGGAAGGTGGAAGGGGAGTGAGGATTAAAAAACTATTTATTGGGTACTATGCCCATTATCTGGGTGATGAAATAATCTGTAAATCAAAATTCTGCACCATAGAATTTACCCATGTAACCACTGCTGAACATGTGCCCTGAAATAAAAGTTAGAAAGAACTATTTGGAGGCAATTAAGTAGAATATGAGTTGAGAGGTGTTAGGTGTTCACCCCAAAGTGATCCGTTTTCATCCTTTAACTTCTGAAATTAATAAAAAAGAATATTCTAGGGACAGATTCATGAGTAAATACTTATAGATGATTGTTTGCACATGGTAATCTGTAGAAGGCCGAATAAAAACATTTAAAAAGATGATCTTTCTTCTCCATTACTTTCTATCTCTCAAACTCCTGTACTTTTTATTTCTGGGAACCAGAACTTCAAAATTTTGTAACTATTGTTTTATTTAACCTTACTTGAAATTCTGGATTGTAGGATTGATGTCTTTCATGTCATTACCTGGATCTAGCACATAGTAGGCACCCAGTAGTAAATGCACTCTCATAAGTATCTAACATATTACATATTGCAAACTTAGTAAATATTTGTTGGGATTATTGTGGTTATAAAGAGAAGTGGTGATAGCACAGGCTATGGTAGTGGCAACGAGGATAAAGAGAAGTGATGGATTGGAAAGATATTTAAGAAGTAGAATCTAAAAGTTGATGATGGATTAAATGAGAGGTGGAAAGAGAGGCTGTGGGAGAGAGGCGAGGGTCTTGAAAGATTTCCAGGTTTTTAACTTGAGTAACTAGTCGTCACATTAACCACCCCCAGTAATGCAATAGAGCTAACCCAAGGCACACATCCCATTTGCTTCTGTATCCATAGAGGAGTAAATCAGTTGTTCATGCTTCTTGTTGCCCAACATCTCTCACTCACCGTAGCTATTTCTTGATGTCTGTGTGGCTGTCATTGCACATTTTAATTATGATCCAAGAGGAAAAACAGAATAGCCAGGCCTGCACCTGAACCATTTGGCTAATGTTCACTGTCTACCAAAACTTTTGACATTTTACTCACTTAGGACACTTTCTCATTCATTAATCAAAAATCCAAACTCTTCTAGTCATCTTTTCTATTTCTTTGCTTATCCTACAAGTTGAGCTATTCCCCTGGCCCAGCTTCTTTTTTTTCCCTCTTAGATTGTTTCTATACCATGATAAACATCTTTATTGAGGCTCAGTCTCTCTTCACTGAAAGCTCCTCACTCCCCTACTGATAGACCCAACTAAAACTTGGTTCTTCCTGATGCCATTAGTTTCCTTATCGCCTTTAAAATTAGAGCATGCTGATTTTCTCACATCACATGCTGATTAGCCAACTTCTGGGTTGGAAGATGAGATTGCTCTCCCCTTGCACTCTGAAAACTATGACTCTTCTCTCATTTTGTAAAATCCTTGTTCATTTGATGATCTCATTAATATCTTTGTGCTTGTCCTCAGACCTTTTGTTTACCAATCTCTTGTACATTCCCATTCTTTCATTGATGACTCTGGTATCTAGTTTATGGACCTTCAATAACAACTCCTTCTATTCCTGATTTATGCTCCCTTCACATAATAACTTTCAACTTCGTAGAGGTCCCCCCCACCGCCTGCCGCATTTCTAAACAACTTGATTGTGGTGCTACTCCTTGACTCCTAACCACCATTCTGGAGTAACCTTTTGGGAATAACATATCTTTTTGATACAGTCTTGAGTGGTTGCTTTTCCAGCTGTCATCCTAGAATTTCCCTTCACTATCATCCTGTGAATTTTTCATTTCTTTCTTGTGTTATAGTTACTATTTTCTAGACCTCATGTCATTTTCTAGATTTATTCCTTCAGTTTTGTGGAATGTAATGTCTTTACTTGCTTAGAAAGGATTTTATGGTAGCTATATTTTTTTGAGGACTTGTATGTCAGAAATACATTTCTTTATAAATAAAAAAGTTTTTATTTATCATATTTTCTAGTTTCTAGGGAAACTCAGTTCTATTCTTATTCAAAATCCTGTTTCACACCTACATTCTTCTCCACCAGAAAATTTTAAAATTTTATTTTTCCTTACTCTTGAAAATTCATGACAATGTGCTTTGACGTGTTTTTAAAATCCATGATACTAGGTACTTGATGAGCCCTTTCACTCTGGAAGCCCTTATACTGCATTCTGTTAAATTTTTGTTATTATTTAATTGATAAGTTCTTCTTCATTTTTTTTAAAAAAGTTCTTTTTCCTTGATCTCTATTAACTGGATGAAGGACCTATCTCTTGGACTTATCCTATAATTCAAGTATTTTTTTCATTTGAAATTTCCATGCATTTGTCTTTTTAGTCTATTTTCTGTGAGATTTTCACAATTTTGTCCCCTAAATCTATGTCGTGACTTACCCTTTATCTAATAGCATATTTTTACTAACAAGTTATATGTTGTTTCCTGAATGATCTTTTCTTCATAGTATCCTATTAGTGTCCCAAGATGCCATATCATTTTCATTTCTCTCAGAAGATATTAACTACAGACTTTCTGTCTTCTTTCCCTTGCTCCCTGTGTTATTTGAATTCTACTTTCTGTTTGTTTCTTTTGATCTTCATCTTTCATGGTAAAGGTTGTTCACAAATATCTGGTGATCCTGGACTGTCCTCCCATACTGAAGCGTGAAACCCTCAACAGCTAATTGGAAGTTTTGTAGGCTTGATAGGTTTTACTGCAGACTAATCTGGCAGCAAGCCAAAGGATATTCTGGAAAAAATATTCTGGAGAAATATATTCTGGTCTTCTGCCTAGGGTATAGCCATGTTATTATGTATATAGAGATTTTCAATCAGTTTTTGTGTTTTCAATACTAAGTCTCTTCAATTTCTTGCCTGGTACCCAGTATCTCCAAGATTCTAAGGTCTATGGTATATAATCAATTTTTGTATCTCTTTGTGGGTACTTTGTGAAAATGTTGCTAATAGTGTGCTTTGTAATTTGTAAAACGTGTGTGTGTGTATATATATGTGTATATATGTATATATATACATATATACACACACAAATTGTACAAATTGTGCAATGTAGATCTACATTGCATATATATATACACATATATATGTGTATACAGTGCATTTATATAAATATATATGACATCTTCTATATATTCTAAAAACTTCTGAAGTGTCTTATCTGCTGATG